AGAACTTGAGCTCCCGGGGTGCGCGGTGGTAAAGGCCGCCAGGTTGGGGGGAGAGAAAACGAACCTTGGAGCCGTCAGGAGTGCGAGGACGCGGGGCTGGTGGGGCTGAGCGCTGAGCGGGATGGCTGGTGGGGCTGACATGGCCCCTCCCTCCTCCCGGGGAGGCCGTGGACACTGTCCGTGTTCTGCCTTTAAATTATAAAATATTATTGTCATCAACATAATAAATAAGCCTGAGCAGGTCGGATGTGTACAGAGCTGCTGAAGCTGTAGAAACGAAGAGCTTTTGGAAATAATGAGGGAAAGCTTTTAGAATCGCTCTTGTTCACTTAGGGTAAATTTTAAAATATCATTTAGCTTCAGGAAACCTACAATACAAGGAAAATTATAGTAGCGGTTACTAATGTTAATTTTTCATAATCTAGTCAGTCTTCACAAGTCTGAATGAAACATGATGGAGAAAGGTACATAGCCTGCAGAAAGGGAGCTTTTACTTCTATAACTTTTTTTAAAAATAATTTTAATTAGACCAACTATTTAAATAAATAATGTGGCATCTGCTCTCAGTGTACACAGTATGTAACTCTTCTACTAGTTTTTATCCTTTCCGTTGGCAGCATAAAATAATTCACCAGTATAAAACCATGCTGGGGTTGGTGAGACCTTCTGGTAGAAGAAGTTAGGATGTCAGTGGGCAGGCCTAGCTGGTAAGCTGTGAAGCTGCAGCTAGGGTGGTTTTTTTTTTCATGCCCGGTTTTGCTCAGCTGTGAGAAATTGTGCAATGCTTCAGCCCCAAGTAAGTAGATTGGATGTCTCCAGACAGAAAGCTGGGGAGTTTTTCCCCACCTTCAGTGTATCTAAGGCAGTGTAGGAGGGTTTGCGATTAAGGCTCGATAAAGTACTTCAATGAAATAACGATTTAAGGAAGAATGTGGTTCAAGATACGTCTGTCTAAGACATGCAGTCAATAGATTGGTGTTTGTAGGTTTCTACCTTTCAGGACTAAGCTTTTTGAAGTAAGGAGTTATGGTCCTATGGTTTCAAACAGAAATTTTAGTCCCTCAAATAGACTAGTGTTTATAACTTTGTACAGTAAATGTCACCTCAGAGCAGAGTCTATTCATTGGCAGATGACCATCATGAGGGTCTTGGGCTTTTTAGATCTCACAGTGGCTGCTAACCGTGGCCGGAGCCTTGGCTGCTGCTGAAGACTACACTGTTTAAGAGAGTTTGTACTACGATGACTGTAAGGGCTTGCCTGATACCAAAATGGTATGATTTTAACTTAAAATATTTTGAAAAAGCAAGTTAGCTTTTCATCTCGGTCACATGTTACTCTGGTTAACTTTAAACAAACCTGAGTGGCTTAAAACTAAAACAAACCTTGTTACACACCAGCTTATTTTAATACTTGTATTGGAAGGGATGAACTGTTTATGTGAGAGCAAAATTTTACTTTCTTCATATTTTGGTAACAGGCAAAGTAAATGATGTTGGTGTTCTGCAAAAATATTTTTATTTTTCTGCTTGACAGAATAATCACCGTAAAACCCTCTAAATGTATATCATTTCAAGGTAATAATACAGTGGGAGGCTGTATAGAGAGTAGCTCTGAAATTTCACTAACTGGCTGAAGCCTTGCTGATTCACCAGAGTTGCTTTCGTACATATTTGCATTGCAATTGAGTGTTGTGGCTGAAGCAGTAGTAGACATATCTGCCTTGCAGTGAGGACTCTGGTGACAGTGAATATACTGCTTGCAGGTTTCAGCAGGGGTTGAATGGACCTTCTGGGGACCTTGAGATGCTACTAAGGAGGGCCTTTACAGGCTGAGAACAATGGGCTAGCGGAAACTTAAGTTCAGCATTTGCAGGACTTGCAGAGTCCTGCACTTGGAACAGAATAATGTCATGCAGTGGCATAGGCCTGGCCGCTGGTCAGATGGAGAAGGGCTCCACAGAGAAAAAGGACCTAGGGTCCTATATCAGCTGAGTCCAAGTCACTAGCCTGCCTTTCCAAGGAAGAGGGCCAGCCCCATAGTGGGCTATGCTAACAACAGTGTAGCCAGCAGGCTGAGGAGAGTGATTCTTGCTTCTCTTCAGCACTTGCAAGGCTGTATCTAGATTACAGTGTCCAGTTTTTGATTCCCCGGTAGCAAAAAAAAAAAAAATAGTAACCTACTAAAGTGAGTCCCTTGGTATGATTAGCAGGCTGAAGCACATGATGCACAAGGAGAAGCTGACAGAACTGGGTTTTTATTGCTCTCTTCGGCTACCTAAAGGAAGATATGGAGGAGACAGAGCTAGACTTTTGTCAGAGGTGCACAGTAGGGTGAGAGGCAGCAGATTCAGACGACAATAGGAGAAATTCTGATTAGGCATTAGGAAATTTTTTCCACCACAACAATAGTCAAGCTCTGGAACAAGGGCATGGAGCGACAGGAGATTTCATCCTTGGAGCTATTCTGAGGTTGACTGGACAAGGCCCTGGGCTGCCTAACCTAAGTCAGTCCTGCTTTGAGCAGGTGTTTGGACTAGATAACCTGTAGAGGCCCCTTCTTATAATTTCAGTGGAGTTTCATGTGCTAAGCAAGAAAAGGTTATTGCTTCAATCTCACAATTACCTTTTTCTGGTCCTCTAGTAGTGTCCCATCTGCTGTTCAACATCTGAGATTAGACTTTAAACTAGTAGGAAGAGAGAAATATCTCTGTGGGCTCAGTGGAGGCTTTTCTGTAATACACAATGCCCCATGTGAAACACTGAAAGCATGTTATTAGCATGGATAGAAACTCCAGCAAGAGGCATTTGGAGAAGGATGTAGGTCTGCAAATGGCAGAATTGACACTGACAAGTATTTAATATTCAAACTATACTTGTTTAGTTTACATCAGCCTGAAACTCTTATTGTAAATTCATGACTTGAAGGAAAAGGCATAAAATAGCCTGACAAAAAACATGTATTGTTTCAGGTTGGAAAAGAATGAGCTAAGTTATGATAGCATTGGCTATAATGACTGTCTGCTTCCTGTGTTAATACTCTTATTGGTTTTGATAGAGCTATTTAAACTTTAGAGAAAACGTTTAATGTTGTTTAATGTTAGTTCATACAGCTACTTGCTGAATGTGTACTGATGCTAGAATCAAAGTAGTACAAATTCTGTTCTAATCTTTGTGTGTGTACTCATTTTCAGACTGCTGCAAGTGAGGAGAAAACCTCTGGTCAAGATTTTCTTGTAGGACATGTTTACAGGGGTGTGGAGACATTGGGAAAGGAACTTTTTATGTACTTCGATGGGAAAGCTTTGAGGTAAGATGCGAGAAAAAGGCTTCCTATGCATTCAGACTGTATGTATTGGGGGGGGTCATCTTGTTCGTGCTAATATCAGTTTCAGAGATTTGAAAGTTAGTGTTATGGAGAAACTTCTCAGCAACCTCTCTGCAATGCTGGAAATACTGGATATAGTAACATTTTCAGATAATTTACTACTTTATTCTGAGTGGGATTCCATGTAAAGGTATCTGAAAAGGACAGTTGTTCCTTCAAATGCATTGTTTGAAACAGGAAATGGCATTTTCTAGGGACAAAACTCAGAAGTGCATGCAGTTACAGTTACTTAATGTCTTCTAATACAAACTGTACTTGCAATTTCTTTTAATTTTCCTTAAGAAATTTAGATTGAAATTCTGTACTTAATTTTTAATGATTCAATTGTTTTGATAATAAACTCATGAAAAAATTGCCAAACTTGAAATATTTTGTGTGTATACATTTATTCTGTTTGTCCTTCGTTAAACAATATTAACAACTCCTTGGTTTGGAACTCTGGTTTGAAATTTGGCAGGTGAATGGTTTGGGTATCATAAATGTAACTCTTGATTTTCTAGTGAAACCATGTCTTCTAGATAAATGGTAAAATTGCCAAGTCATTGTTTCTTCGTGCTTTGCAGAGCTTATTAGCGGTTTGTTGGCATGTTTAGGATTTTTGTCATATGCTTTAACTCCTTGGATGTCTGCTTGTACTTGCCACTAAGGTTGTACTTGGCATCTAGTTTACTTTTTCTAGTTCAATATTCTTCTGTACTGCAAAGTCAACTGAAAAATCTAGCCAAATGCACGGTGTAATGGATTATTAAAAAAAATCCCTGCTCATTCTTTATGGTAATTACTATAGAATACATAAGTAAGGCCCTTATATTTAATACATAAGGTTTGCATTTAGTGCTTTTATTTGCAACATAATTCTAATCTTTCTAAACCTTTACAAGGGAAAACAACATCACTTCTACATTCAGCATGGTCTTTGTCACCTAGTGACTGATCTTGAACAAAGGTGTAAGGTCATGATTTTTTTCATTTAAACCTGATAATATCAACAAATACCTTACAATTGTGATGTAATATTTTGCCAGTGGCACAGCTGTTATAGGAAGGAGATAGAACTGAAAATGCTTGGCTGTGAGTACAACAGTTTACAGTGGTTGCATGCTGGATTAAAAAAAGGTGGTGATACATTTATTAGTAGTTACCTGGGATGATGTGTAGACTGATCTTTGGTAGCAGGGGCCTGTTTGTTATCAGATGTAGTGCTATATGCTTATTTCTCCTAGTGTTAAAGAAATGCAACTAGTCTTACAAGCATGTACCAGTCTTTACATGACAATCCTACAAGTAACTAGTAGGACAGGACCGCATATCTGTTTAAAGCTACACATATTTGTGAAGGATAGGATTATGGTCCTGATCAGTTTCTCTTGCTTTGTGTTGTGCTTTATTAAGTAGAAACAGAGAACAAGAAGCAGTTTTCAGAGAGAAAAAGATAAGTCAGTTATAAAGGAAGATTAAAAAAAAAAGGCAAGGAAGGCAACTAATACAGATGTTAGCTTTTTTAAATGACTATTGCATGTATTACAAGTTGATTGGATAGGCAAAAGAGTAAATTATACAATAAGAAAACATTGTTTCAATAGACTGAATTACATTATGAGAGGAAAAAAGCTATTACTAAGGAATGTAAGTAAGCATTTTGCAAAAGTTCTCTTAGAAAATGTAGCCAAATTCTAGTACGGAAAATATAATCCTTTGACTCTCAAAGATCTTAAATAATTCTTAAGCTTTCTAGCCAATGCAATAACTTATTTACTTAATGGAAACAACCTTCAGTTATTGTTTGATAAGAAGCTTAAAAGTTTCAATTCATCAGTTATTGTAGCTCTAGAAACTGTATTTAGGAAGTTCCTTTAGTGGTGTCGTTTATTTGATTTGAAACATTGTAGAAGTTATGTACAGGAAAGGTCTCCTCTGCACAGGAGGCAGAAGTTGCTTCTTATCTGGTAATGAAGATCTTCATTCTTTTGTTTTAAAAATGTATGTTGTGCATCTTAAAGATGATGAGGGGAGGTAGAGGAAGGCTTCAGAAAATGCATTTTACAGCAGTCAAAGATTGGCTGCCAGTATTGTTATTGGGAGATGAAATAAGGAATATGCCTTCAGAGGATATATTATTTTTTTTACCTAAGTTAACTCTCAAATACAGGACTTTCTTGTCAGAAGGGTTACTGATATACAGATTCTGTATCTGTACATAGTTTTTCAACATAACAGCTTTTCTAATATGCTAAGATTACCTGTAAAAAAAGCTGGTAGTCAAGCTGGAATAATGTTAATCAGACATGTCTTGTGAAAGACTGGGCCATGAAAGGCAATTAACTCATTTTATGCTCCTGAATTTTCTTAAGTGGGAGATGACTGCCTGGTGGGAGAAAATAACCTGGCCATGAAATTGTTTTATACGGTTTGGCTACTGCTTGCCTGACTTGTAAATGAGGAGGATGCTTCTGAAGTGTTGCCATGTTGTGGATAGCAATTACAAATGAAGTTCAGTGCAGTATATTTGTAATCCATTGTGGGCAGTAGAAGCTTTTTTTTATGAGTACAGATGAGCAATGAAACCTTCTGAAGAAGTTAGTACTTCTACTTTTTAATGTCCATTTAAACAAGGACGTTAAAGTCACTGAAGAAAGTCAAGTTTTTTTGGAAAATCTGAGGGTTTTGTTTTGTTGTTGAGTTGTTTGTGGTTTGTTTTTTTTCAATTTTGCCATGAAAGTGACTGAAATAATCATTGAAAGTTGAAAAAAAATTCTCTGATACTTGCGAGTTGTGCAGGAGAGACTTGCATGGACTGCATGTTTTGACATGGAAATCATACAGTTATGTGAGAGAGGTTGTCCTGTGTTTAGTTGCTGTAGTGTGCTATTAATGTAAATTTGGAGTGATAAATGGTTTAGGAAAGTTTCTGAAAATTGATAATACACATGTTTTTCCATAACTGAAAATGGACAAAAATATTCTCAGGAAAGAGATAATTGTTTATTGCAAATCTCTTAAAGAAAAGACATCTGCTGTCTTGACTGGAAATTACATCTTGGCCCTTAGAACTTGATAATGTGAATCGTCACTGGTTTTTACATCTCCATATAATAGTTTGACTGTGCTGCTACTAATCTTTATTTTTATGGGGAAAAGTGTCTTAAATAATAGCAGATCCTTACAATATTGTGTAGCACTAAATAATTCTAAAACCTCACCTTTTTACTTTAAAACAACAAAGAATCATCAACTCCTTACTACTAGCTATTATTGAATAACAGATCCTGGGTTTAATTAGTGTGGCTTTTCTATTTGTAATTAAAATGAGAAGATTTCTGATTTGCCCTGTTTCAGGACATCAAAGGTAATGAAACACATTGGAGTGAAATTTTCTAAGTTTCTTAAGGCTTTTGAATGTAAATGTGTAGCAATGACTATTTTTTTTTCTAGTCATGAACTGACAAGTCACTAAGGTAGCTAACAGTGATTCTTAATACTCCTTTTAAACAAGCTTGGTAAATTAAACCATCAGGTATTAATGTGAATGCTATTTCTTTAAAAAGAACTTTCTGGAAGCATTTAGTGCATTACCATTTGGTAGCAAGATGCAAGAGGTTAGTTTAAAAAGAAATGTGACTAGTTAAGCCTGTGCAGTACTATTCATAGCACTTGAGAACTGGAAGTGGCTATTGAAAATAAAAGTGGCTGAAATAACTGTCACCTGAACTGACTTGTAACAAAGACACGGGTTTTTAAAAATTGAAAAAAATTAATGAATAGATGATATGAGGAAGTTACATAGAGTTGACTTTAAGACTAGGCTTGATGAAATGTTATCATAACCTATCTGTAAATATTTAAAATGCCTGTCCTTTCTGAAATGTAACAAAGAGGGGTTAAAAGGAAGCATATGCCTGATGTTGTGTTTCTTTGGTCATTTGTGTAGTTTAATCTGTTAAGTCTTCCTGTAGCTACAAAATAATCCACCTTTTCTGATATACAATATATAGAAGTAGGACACTCCTATCTTATGGGTTTTTAGGACTTGAATGTACCAGGTGAATTTGTAATAAATAAAACATAGGAGACCATAGTCAAACTTGTGCTTTGGTCAAGTAAACTAGCTCCCAGTAGAATATATTATAAAATATAAGACTTTTTAAAACATTAGTGATCTGTAAAAGGAATGCTTGAAAGAGTCTGTTCCGCTCCTTTGCCATCTGTGCATTTTTCAGTTTGTTTCTTTTATTAATTTTTAATTGACCTGCAGGTTTTGCCTTGGTTGTAGGCAAAGAAAAGCAGAAAACAACATATGGCAGATGTTAATTACTTTGTTTATGGCGTTATTGGAAGTAGCTTTGATATGATAACAGTGTTGGCAATATGGGGACTGAAATCTGTCCTTTCATACCAGGTGACTTGTGCCTGATTTAACAGAAAATTGCCTGGTAAAGTAGCATCATTTCTTTCAGCCTCCCTGAGGACTTAGGAACTTATGTATGGAAGACCAGCATGTCAAGTGAAAAAATTCAAGCGTGATGCACCACGGAAGTGTGTTACTTAATGATCAGGTTTGACTTCTGTATAATGAATTATGAAGACTACTGGAAAACTGCTATCTTTTGGACTAGTTTTGACTTGGGGAGAGTTCTTCTTTCAGAATTGAGCACTATGTAAGCAAGTAGTTTGTTCCCATGTTACTTTTAAATACTAGAATTAATGTACATACACACTGACTTGGTTAGGTAAGAATAGTTAATAACTTCAAAAAATAGACTAATGTAATGCTTGGAGACATTGTTAAGATAAAATACCAATAAGAACTCTCTTTCTCTCTCAGGATTCACTTCGGTATGAATGGTTCCATGCGCATTAATCCTGATAGAAGCAAAGACAGCAATGGAGCACTACCAGTTTTGGAGATACAGCTTACACATGATACTATTTGGTTTTTTGAGGTGACAGTAGACTATAGGTAAAGCAGAAACTAACCAAATTCAACACAGATTGGTTTATTTCTTTTTATAATATTCTTTTAAGAACATAGTGAAAAATCACACATACATTTTTAAGCACTTGGATACCATCATAGACACAAAGAAACAAAACTGTCTAAACATATCATATTAATTGCTATGGTAATTTAATTTTGTTACTTTTGTATCAGAGTTTACATACAGTTAAAGGAGTTCTATGCCATAATCTCATTAGATAGCATCAAGACTGGGAATGGAAGTTGGATTTCATTCCATCCTTAGATCTGAATGCTGAGCCCCATTGCCGCTCTAATTTCCACGCAAGTCTAACTTCATTGACAATAAGGACCTGTGATGATTACTGGTTTCAAATTTTTATGCTCCCAAGGTTGTGTTTTTAGTTTTGCTTTCTTTTTGGAAGCAAATTGGTATAATTGTTCTAATTTACATTAAGTAGATGTTTTTGTCCATCAGCATTGTACTTCTCACTGCTAATAAAATAACATAGCAAGCTTGATTTTAAAGCTTTTCAGGCTCTTGGGTGAAAAGGAACATGTAAATTCAAGTAACATACATGTGCATGTTTAATATTACAAAACATAAGCTTATCATAGAATCATAGAATTGTTATGTTTGGAAGAGACCTCAAAGATCATTAAGTCCAACCTTCTATGCAACGCCACCATGCCCACTAAACCATGTCTCAAAGCGCCACATTCTGAACGTTTTTTGACCACCACCAGGGATGGTGAGTCCACCACCTCCCTGGGGAGCCTGTTCTAATGTGTAACGACTCTTACAGTGAAGAAATTCTTCTTAATATCAAACCTGAACCTTCCCTGGCACAACTTGAGACCACTTCCTCTTGTTCTATTGCTAGTTACCATGGAGAAGAGACCAACCCCCATCTTGCTACAACCTCCTTTCAGGTAGTTGTAGAGGGCGATCAGGTCTCCCCTCAACCTCCTTTTCTGCAGGCTAAACTCTATGTAAGCCTGAGACTTCTTGTACTGTATTACTTTCAAGCGATTATGCTTAACCTAATAAAAATCAACATTTAAGAAAATATATCTTTTATTGTCATGTTGTAACTATAGGACCATGTAACCATACAGTTAGTTATGTTTGATGGTCCAAACGCGTGGTCTTTCCATGTTGGAAGTAGTTTTAAAACAAGGACTTGGCAATTATTTTTCAAACTAATATGAACACAAGTTGGATGAGATGCATGTTCCGTGCATGTATCATTGACCTGTTTTTGGAAGGGGTGGTTAATGTAATTTCTGTGCCTGTCACTGGTATTTTCATGGTTTCTGTTATCTGCATGTAATGTTTTATTATACCTTTATGTGTTGCTTTTAAAACCATACTGCTATATTAGCATCTAATTAAAATAAAAATAAATCTTACTGTATTTTTCTCCTCCAGAAATGCTGCTGAGAGTGAGCGGAAAGTGAGAATGATGGAAAGCCTGGATGTCTGCTCTCCAAAGTTTAGCTTCTTAAGAGCAGAAAGTGAGATTAAGCAGCAGAAAACCCGCATGTTGTGTGATGTGTTACTGGATCAAGCAGTATTACCTGGAGTGGGAAATATCATAAAAAATGAAGCACTATTTGACAGTGGTCTTCACCCAGCTGTTAAGGTGGCTGAAATGTCTCAAGATTGGTTTTAATGACACCAAAGTATTATGAATGTGAACATATATACCACTTTATCATCTTCTTACCTTTGTTTTATCATCTGTCATTTCTTAAGTTATTCTAAGACACTAAATTCATATTTTATCATTATAACTGGAGATATTTGTCACGGCATTCC